TCATTTAAACTGTTCCCGGGCATCTCTTCAGAGAGGCATTTTTTCCCTGATAGTGGGTTAAATGATCTGACTTTTTTTTTTTTTCTTTAAGCGCTCAATCATTTATTGTTCTACAGCTCCAAGGATGCAAAGTGCAAAAGGGTTGCTAATTATGAATGGGTTTTTTATTGACTGAAGTAACAGTATTATCACTTCCTTTTTTTTTATTTATATAAACTACATTACAGAACATATTGCAGGACAGGTTTTATATGCAGACAGAGTCTGACTCAGGATACACTTCCAAGTACAATTTCACTCCTTTCTGTAACGGTGTGCATTACTGAAGGAAAAAGTATGTATACCACAATCTCCTAAGGATCTCAGTTCATATACTATGTTAACCTAATGCTAACTAAACAAGAAACCTCTTTTTCCATTTGCCCTTTAAAGCAACTTGATGTGTTGTCCTTCCCGACAAAGTTTAAATGTAAGATTTTCTTCACAAATCCAGCCTTCTTTTGCAACTTGCAGGCAAACTTTGGCTGCTTATCCTAGTCTAGGTGCTGCAGTACAGAAAGTTTATGTTTCATATATGTAGCTGACAATAGAGGTTTTTCAAGCCTTCTAATCTTTGAAACATCTGACATTCTCTTCAGGTTGCAGAGAAGAGGAGGAAATGGAATTTCCTGGCATTTTCCATGAATTTCAATGTTTCATTAAAAAAATATAGGAAATGGTAAGAGTTAAATATTTTGTGGTAGCTTTTGTTTGCTTCCTATTGCTGTTCTTAAACCAAGTAACTATAAACACAACCAGGGTGTAGAATGCAACAAAGACATTATTGACTGCCACATCCTCCACATCCTCTCTATGTGTTTATCCTAATGGACACCGAATAGTAAAGTGCGATGCAGTGGTTACAGAAGTACTTTAAACACAAATTAAATAAGTGGTCAAACAACCCACTACCTCTGATCATTATTTCAGCACATTTTTGAGTTTATCCATTTCAGATATTATTAAAAAAGAAAATGTACATGGAGTCCAGAGAAAAATAGTGGTTGAGCATCCATTAACTAAGCTTTGTATTTGTTCAGAAGTCTTACTAATGTAATCTATGGTAGCAGTGACAGAACCACAAGCACATAGTAATAACCAGTATTTTGGTAATTAATATTTGCTGGCCTTCATGACCTTTTCTGTCATTATGATACCAAGGAGGAAAGCTTTTTGTTTTCAAGGATAAAGCTGTGCCAAGCATTTATAGAAGTGCTAGCAACCTAGTGTTCTGAGCAAGCTGATCATGCTCACGTTTGCCTAAAATACACCTTCACTCCCTAAGCCTATGCTAGTTATCAAAACATAGCAAATCCAGATTTTTTTTCTTTTAAATCTTTGTAATATCAGTTTCCCCTGTTCTTGGCATAGAAGATATTTAGGGCTAGGGTTTTTATATATGTGCCCACACATATACACACCTATATATAATTTCTCCCACTTGTAAGTGAACCCTGAGAAAAAGAGGGACTCTAAACAGAGTAGGATTAGCATAGATTTTTCCCCGCATTCACCACAATCTACAGATCTTTTAGCAAGCGTCCTATTGATAATAAATGCAGCTCAAACTCCAATGCATTTCAGATATAATGTAAGCAAACATTTTCGTTCCTGGGGCCTGGCCTTATAACTGGTCTCTTTACGTGGTAAGATGCTTGCAGCAATGCGCATACCAAATACTATTACTGTGTGTTGGTACAGAAATCCCCTCTAGGAAAACCTCACGTATTTTATGATATTTGGATGCCTAGACCTGCCACAGAAATCCATTGCAATCTATTTTTGCTAGAAAGCCCCCTTTGCAAACAATAGCTCTTTAAATCACTGAGACTATCCATGTGACATGGGCCAGTGGGCATAAACTGATTTAAGGATTTTAAATTTAAAACAGGTTGGTAATCCCTAGTGGATGATGTGACTGTGAAAATGGAGCTTATAAGGTTTGCCCTGTAGACAGCGCAAACCAGTCTGAGCCTGCAGGTCTAATATTTCCTCTTCTAGAAATGGGAAGAAATATCTATCGGCATTTATTTATGAAGGAGAAATCTACATTACTTGAAGGAGAGTTTCATTCTCAGCTGCTGATTTTGTAACAGACAGCAATGATTTATCCATGTCAGTAGAAATATAAAACCATTTCCAAGTTCAATAGTTATTGCCAAACTACCATTGTGTACACTTTTCACATAACCACCCATCCTCCCTCCCCTGTACATCTCACACACCCTGGGTGCCCAGGCCAGGTTCAAGTAACGAGGCATGAGTTTTGGCTTAGGAGCTGCTCTGCCCAAGCCTCCCTCTCCTGTTCCACAAAGTCAGAGTCATGGAGGTGCAGCCAGACACATCAGCCCTTGCCACCCCGTACAGTCACCCAGTAAAAGGCCATTGGATGCGGGGGAATCCAGTGGAGCTTACAGTTACACATAAATTATTAGGGCACAAGAGGATTTAAGGAATATGTTAACTAGACCCAGCTGAAGAGGAAGGAACTGGGAATTTCAGTCGTGGGCAATGTAATTGGCACACCATGTTCTTTATGAACACGAGCACAGCCATGGGCTGTGCAGGATTAGGCTAAGGCTGACTTAAAGGAAGCAGAGTCAGAGAGCTGAGAGGGAAGGAGAATAAGATGGGAGGTGAGGGAAATTAGTGAGAACCAAAACTGGATACTGAGGAAAAAGGAAACTGAAAGGGAGTTGGGGATGAAATCAGGCAGAAAGAATCTAGCTAAACAGGAAGCTATGCCCTTATGAACTTCAGGACTTGGTAGGACTGCTTACAGCATCCAGACAGGTTTTAGACTCAACCTGACTTTGCTGATAAAGAGGCAAGACTTGGGATGAACATGAGGCATGAGATACTGTCAGGGACCACCAAGAGCAGGGCTGCTTGAGGGACGAGGGCAGGAGACAGGCCAGCAGCTGAGAGCAATCCCAACACAGGCTGGACCCTCACCGGCAAAGTGCCATCCTACAGTACCTGAATACAGCAGGTTGAGCCAAATGCTGGCAATAGGATCCATCATCAGCCCACAACGTGGAAGGTGAAAAACCAGGATGAGAGTCTAACCAAAGACTCCTGTCACCAGCAGCTGAATATGGCATTGAAGACATTGCTATTAAGTAAGTTCTGGTCCATTCAGGAGGCAAAGAGAGGGACCAACACCCTTACAACAGCTAAATCCCCTAGGCTGAACTCCTGAGTCCTTGGGGTGAGGGTGAGTGGGAAGATGAGACCCAGGTGAGGCTGGTTGGGGCCATTAAGGCCTATTAGTGGGAATGAAGGGGAAAAACAAGGAAGAGGTTCTCAAATATTTAATGAAGAAGATATTATGACCTCTTCCTGCCAGTAACAGACATTAGCTCAATGAGACTGAGGTTTTCTTGACATCCAAAGGTGTGATAACAACTCCAACACAAGATCCTCCACTGTTAGAGGATCTTCTTGTACCAGTTCTGATAAGGCAGTCCCCTCATTATTATTGACAAAATGACGTTTTGATAGTTTCATCTGCCAGTACAGGTACTTGGTTAGACATCTGAGGTCCTGGTATTTCTAACCAGCACAGTTATGCTCATGAACTCCTGAAGTGTAAACAAGCTGAGAATCTCTCCATTATTTAGGTGTCAACAAATGTCTACACATATACAATGCCACATCTAATGAAATGACACATCTAATGCCACACCGTGAAACCAATAATGAGATTAAAGTTTCCTTACATATAGAACAATCAAATAAACTTGTGCACACAATAAAATTCTGGCTTTTTAAGGTAACATTAAACAGAACTTTTCTGTATCTACCACTACAAAAAAAAAAAAAAGGAAAAATCTATAGCATACTTTACAATGCAATTCTATAGAATAAGGGTATGTGTTAGTTTTTATGCAGAGGTTTACTTGGATTATTTCAAGTTTTTCACACTTCCAGTAAAAAATGCACCCTGTAAAAATACGCATCCACAGCTCTGAAAGAAAGACGAAAATACTAGTTTTTCTGGCCATTTCTTAATAACTTAACACTTTCCTGAAATGAGCATCAGGAGTCCAGAACCCATGTTTCTCAATGGTAAAATCAGTTTGTTTGTTATTACAAAAATCTCTCTGAGTATGACAGGCTAACCAAAAATATTTTGGAAAAAAAAGGACCACATTGACTTTTATCTGGGAAATATCAGTTATATCACCCCTGCAGTGGCGATGGCACCATCATATAAATTAGTTTTCATTGAGCTAGCTTCAGTACAGGGAGAAGCCCCATTATGGAAGGATGGGATTCAGTGAGAGTGAATATACGTGCAGAATAGCTCTTTTCTAGGATGTTCAAGTATTTCTGTGCTACTTTGCAAATACAAGACAGGCACAATTACAACAGAGGCAAAAGATAGCTATCAGCATCTGTTTTCCTGGGAGTTGCAACATTCCTTTTATTTTCGTGTCATTTACAAGGATAAAGCAGTCCATTGCAATTTTTTATTTACATGAATTAAGAATTCAGCTTGAGGTCAGAAAAGCTGGTTTTATTGCTGTCTCTCAAGTATACACTGCTCACTTCAACTGGCTCTGCAGCGTAACAACAGCAGAACAAATTACCTTTTTCTGCAGAGATAACATTGAGATAACAAAAATCACAGCACTGAATTCCATTATTTATTTACTTAAGAAAACACTTGTAAAAAATAGGAAGACCCCCCAACCTGCAATATTTCATTAATTAAATGGTAAAATGACACTATAGACCAAAATCATCAAAACAAATACGACATTTTAGGTTTCATGGGAGTTGACAACTCCTTATTATAAGAACGAAACATTGCAACAAGGTCTTGGATCATTTATTGAAACTAATGTTTGCATAACTTTTTAGTGGTTTGAATTTGTATTTGTAACATTTGAGACTTAAAAGAAATAATAAGGGAAAGCAATATCCCTCCATTTTTTTAACATGCCTGTGTGGCAAGAACGTCGGAAGTTTGACAAGGGTGGTACCATCTATATACATTTAGGAAAACATGCTTGCTGTGGGTGTACAAAAATAAAATTTATTTGTTAAATTACACATAAATATAAGGTACAAATGTATTTTTAAAATACAGATAAAGATAATCACACTTGCATTGTGTACATATGAAAATACAGTATTTTAATATTCAACATACACAGACACATTTATGATAAATGCAACTAGTTGGCAATGCCAGTTCTTCTCAGTCCATTTTTTGTTTTTCATTATTTTTTCCCTTCCAGTTTTCCATAAATATGGAAAAATAGGCTATTGAAACAATTAGTTCTGCCGGACATCTTGCAGCAGCTTGTTAATTTCTGCCACCAGCTCACTGGCATCCATGAGTTCGTGTTTACCATCACTGAGGTGGTTGAGCACATTGTCAAAGTCATCTTCTTCATAATTCTCTGGGATCTCCTCCATGGCTGGCAGCCATTTAGAGGAAGGCTGCGCGCTTGAGTGAGTCCCCAGAGTGGGCCCGGTGTTGGCAGGATTTTGGAAGTGTGTGCTGGCTGCCCAGGCTGCCACCCCCTGTGGATAATTTACAGTCTTGGCTGGCAAATGTCCCTTCCTGCGCTCCAACTCGTTGGAGCGATCCATCTCATTGCACTCCGTGTAGGCATCTAGTGAGGGAGGCAGCAGGCGCTGGAAGACGCTGCTCATTTCCGAGAGGAGAGAGGAGGTACAGGTGTCCCCGGACTCCTCCTCACCCTGGCAGTCTTTACCAAACGTTGAAAAGCTCTTCTTCTTCTCGCTGGCATCAGCAGGCTGTGGATCTTCCTCTAGGCCCTGCTGCTGCTGCTGCTGCAGCTGCTGTTGGGGTGACTGGAACTCTTCCCCAGGGATGAACATGTTACTTCTGTAGTCGGAGGAGGGAGAGGGCAATGGTGGCATCCAGCACTGGTCGGAGTGCCCCAGCACCCTACACTCTTCTGTGCACAGCCGCATTGCTGCAAGAGAGAAAAGAGGAGAGTGAGCATCTCCTTCCTGCTGCAGGTACCACTTGCATTCACAGGGACTAACGTCAGGGCTGAACCTCTCCAAAGACATTCAAGTCTGGTGTTGGGGTTCACTTTCTGTGTGAACCCCAGGAAGGTGGCAAATACAACCAGTCTGGATCTAAACGTACTTCCATTTGTGAATGGTCTCAAAAAATGAGAATAATAATAAATGCAGAACATGTAAGACAGTAATGAGATCCCTTAACAAGGGCTGAAGATAAACATGTAAATCCTAGGTGGAAAACAAGCACTTGTGACTTAAAGCCATTTGTTCCCTTTGTACAACCAAAAAAAGGTGTTTTTACCTCCAAGCATTTGCTTAAGTTTTAGTGAAGTCTTCCACATGCAACTAGAGAAGCACATCAGAGTAATAAAGCAGGAATAAATGGACAGGAGAAGTAAAGAAAGAACAGTAACGTGCAGAGGGATCTCCCCCTTCATTAACACACCTCCTTTTCATCTGACAATGAGGTGTATGTTGAATACAAGGTGATCCAATGCCATACTACCTTTTTAACTGAACCAGTTACATTTTAATCCAGTGCCAGAATACCTAAGGCTTAATTCATACCCCATGTGAATCCAGTGATGGTACTGGAGTTAGTCTAAGGTGCACTTGCAGCTCTGCAGCTCTGGTTACTGGACTGTGCTGGCTCAAGCATTGGCACAAGGAGGGCTCTAACCCACAAGGTGGGCATCCAGGCCAACCAAGCTGAAGAGCAGGAAGTGGAGCCACCCTCTCAGCTGCTTGGTTTTACTGGTGTCTCTCAGGGAGAAGCAATATGATGGGGCAAGTGACAGTACCTCTTGGAGCTATGCTGATCTGAACTGGCCCATGGAAGGGCACTCCACAAACACCTGAAGAGGTCTGGAAATGGTCCCTGGAAGCAGAGACCGGCAAAGCACTGTTTGACAGACGTGCAAAGAGAGATTGCACCAGGAGAGAGGCCAAATTTTCCTCTCCAAAGGGAACCAACTCTTTAGGACATGGAGCCTCAGCTCAGGCTAGGCACTGCCTGGGGCTTGGCAGACATGCTGGAAAAGACCCAGGTGCTGCAAGGGCCACTAGCTTGAATTTGAGTCACACACTTCAAAAGAAAGTTCTCAGAAATGCCAGACTCTTTGCATTATGGATGTTTTGACCATAAGAAGATTTTGTCCTAAACCTCTATCAATTAATGCTTAGATTAGCCCAAACAGAATAGAGTTTCTTTTTCTCTATACAGATTGAATACATAAGAAATGTTTGCACTTACACCTTGTAAGTTTTCCTTGCTTTCTCATCATGTTTCCCATCTGGCTCCAAATCCACTCATTTTATCATAAAAATCTCTTTGCAATGGTGTAAGCAGAACTGAACAGAGTATTTCAGCTTAGGATGTACCAGTGATTGTTGAAGTCCTATGCTCATCCTGTCAGAGCTATTTATCTCTGTGCTTTACACAGCCTATCATACTGTTTGCTTTCCTAATGCCCTTTCCATTCCTCTGAGTATAAACTTTCTCTGTGTTTTACATGTAAGAGCATGAACTCCTTCCAGAAAACAGGTTCAGCCTGCAGGCTGGATATTACACGAGCTATTGCAAATGGCTTTCTGATCAGCGAGCTTTAATGGAAAAAGCAACCTAGAAAATATCAGTGGCTGAAGCTGTGATACCAGTGACTGAAATGCCTTCAAGTGCTTTGGTCCCATGTATGAAAAGCACACGTGTTGTTTTACAGAAAATGCCTAGGACTTAGAAAGGAGAAAAGATATCTTAGTGATCCATGGATCCTAGACAAGCTTTCAACTCATCCCAGAAGTTAGGGATTAGTCTTCTAAGGAGATGTCTGCAGATTAATGGCAGACTTTCAATGGTCTAGCATTTCATTAGTAGTGAAAGTTGTCTTATTATGAGTTTTGTTACTGAAGTGATCAGGATTGGTTTTGGTACAAAATAATAAATTCTGACATTCCTGAACCTGAGACAGAAAGATACTCTGACAAAACTGAATGGTGTCATAGTCTGTCCTTAAATCAGTTACAAATTAAAAAAAATAAAAACAACAACAACAAACAAACCACAAAAAAGACCAGGTGTACAACAGCATTTTCTCACCAGAACTTAAAGCTTATTAAATGAGGATCTAAAAAGTGAGAGAGAAAGAAACATGTCTTTCAAGAGCAGTTATTGAACTTTCTGATCATCTAATTTTTGCAGTTTCGAGGGACTGGCTCCGTTCCTTTACAGTTCCACCTTAAAGGCACAAACTGAAAGGACTTTCTCACAGCATTTTGCCTGTGTCCAGACTGACAGTGCAGGAGTCTTTCAAAATGGAGAACAGGAAACTCCCAGAAAGTTTTCTTTTCCTTTTCATTTGTTTGGATTGCAGATCAATTCAACTCTCATCTGAGCAGGTTCAGCATACTTATCTGATGGATTAACAGCACGCATTGCAGCAAATGGACATCTGGGTGAAATTAAATGTCCACCTTGACAATCCAGGCCAGTTTTGTCTGTACTCAGCTGGAGTTTTCCTTACTTTGAATGCAATTAGTGTTGGGCAAAGGCCGGGACTTTTTAAAATCCTACCCTTTGGATTCCTGTTTTAGAGACTGCATGGCAAGAGCTGAAAATGAGTCATGGGCGTTTCAGCTAGCCAAGAGGGTAACAGTCCCCAGCTGCACACCAGGAAGGGGAGAGCTCTTCCTTGGCAGCAGCAGGGCTGGATGCCAGTGCAAACACCATTGCACTTGAAGTTCCCCTGGCAACTGAGAGCTCCAGCAGATCCCTCCCTGCCTCTCTGCCAGCCACAGGAGAGAATGAGACATGCCTCATGCTAGCTGGCAGAGAAGTAAGTAGTAGGATCTGAGGGGGATGAGGATAAAAATGTATGTTAGGACTGCAGATTTCAGTTAAGGATTCTGAAAAAATAGTAACTTTTCAAGGTCTCTGGTTTTGAAACATTGGGTACATAAGACTCAGTTGAAGAAGGAGATTGAATGCCTGGGTAGGTGATAGTCCTAGTCTGGAACAAAACATAAAAATAAAATTTAAAATTTAAAATGTATCAGAACAAATTAAACTTTTGAGCTTTACTCTTGCCTAATGTAACAGCTTACTTCTCAGGGCAAAACATACCAAGATCAGGTACAATCCCCTCACTGGTATTTTCCATGGCAGTAGAGGGAAGGAGCTGCAACACTGCAGCTCCTCTCCTCCAGCCCTGGGCAATACGTGAGGGTCACTTTAGGGGAGAATATGTGCTGCACCGCCCCACAAAACAATGTGTCTCCCTGTATAAAATGACTTTACTAAACCAAATTTTTAAGTTTATACTCTAGTTCTAGGGAACCGTACTGAAATCATCTGTCCCTGTTGGTTATACAAAGAAAACTAAATATGATCTGAAATAAGTACAAGATCTGAGACCAGTGGCTATAAAGTAATTACAAAATTCTCATATCTGTGCTTAGCATGATTTCTCATAGCCTCTTTTATTCAACTTATAACTGGGCATAAATTTAAAAGTGTACTTCATACACATGAATATGTATGCGTGTGTTTATCTTACTTTCACTCACCCTTTTCTAGGTTTTTCTTTTCCACCCTCTGATTTGTACCTCTTAAGGACTTTCTTCTAGAAATTAGGGTTGCAAGATGTAAAATCTGGGACATATTTAGATCTTTCCCTCGACACTCAAGTTCATTTTTTCATTGGGGAAAAAAACCCGCTTTTCTTTCTTCTCCAGCCATATTTCTAGACCACTTTCACAATCCATTTCTGAACGGTAGAAGTTTGTATCAAAAGGATCAAACCCACTGTGGAAAATGTATCTCCCAAATTATAGTTCTGTGTATTTTTAACAAACCACAACTGCCTGGCTTTGCAAAAACATCCACCCAGTCATTAAAAGTCTAAGGACACGGAGCAGATCGTGCTTTTGGAGGGAATTTGGAGCCAGCTCACGATGACGTGAATAATAGAAAAAAAATAGGCATTGCTCTGGGCATGTTTTCAGTTATGTCTGAGGTTTCATCTCACTAGATATGTGAAGGCTTCAGCTCAATATTTATCATGAAGCAGAGTAAAGAGGAAGGAAACACAGGACTTGAAAGCTAAAGAATATTTGCTTTCTCAGTAGTAGCTTTATCAAAGTGACAGCCAGGCAGCACTGCAAATAAAGTGTTCAGCTTCCATTGTGCTCTTACCTGCAGGAATTCTCCCATCTGTAAGGAAAAGGTCACTGAATCCTTCCCCAAGAAGTCTGTCAATTGGAGACTCTCTGCCCAAATCATAGTCACTGTCTCCAGCTTCACTATCACCACGGCCACTATCTTTCAAGCTGAATTTATCCATGTCTTGTAGGGCATATCTGTGAAAAGAATTGTGGTGACAGTGGAGTTAATTTCTCTCACATATGTTATATTCAAATTTTTGATTAAAAATACATGTCTGTATTTTCTGATACATGTACATGCATATGTATCAGAACAGTCCAGATCCTTACCTGTAGCTTCTGGAATACTTGTTTCCTCGAAAACTTGGCCTTGGTTGATACTGGCCCTGGTGAAGCATTGAGAGAAGCTGAGAAACCTGCTAAAGAAAAGGTGAAAAGACTGATTCCTTGAAATGAAAGCTCAAATTCCTAGTTGTAAAACCACTAATTCTCTTCTCAGGTTTGTTAGTTGGGTGTTTTTGGTTTTTTGGGTTTTTTTTCCTTTAAAGTTTAATTAAATTAAATACCTACACCTATATAATGCAGCACAACAGGCTATTCTGTAGTACAGTGTCTGCCACAGGAAACATCTGAGGGCCTTGAACAATGAGGAAATGCACTGCTGTTTATTAGCCTCTGAACTCATAATAATGAATTCATTAACAAATAAAACAAGTAATTAAACAAAGGTGGCATTTTGTTTAGATTAGAATCAACCCCTTACCATTCCAGGATCCTAATTCAAAATAAAATGTCATTACTTTACGTGTAAAGAGTTACCAGGACACAGCTCTCATTTAGGCCATTACCAAGCATTTGCAGCCAAAACCGAGATGGGTGCTCTCAAAGTTTGAGATACTATGATCGTATAGGACAACAGCTATATTTAAACTGTGTCAGGGTTTAACCTTTTAGTTCTGCATCCTTATTAATCAAAGAATTTCTTGTATTGTTTCTCTGTATAAATACTCTGGCACTCTTTCTTAAGCAAAACTATAATCGCAGGAAAGGAAGAAAGAGCGAGCGAGCAGGAAACCAGAGAAGAGTACTGTCTATGTTACACTCCACTGTTTCAGCCTTACAGGGAAGAACCAAGAAATGATGCTATTAATAATACATTTAATCCTGTTCCCCACGTTAATGGATTCAGCTGATATTGGAATAAAACTGTGACATCTAAAACTGTGACATCTAAATCCACAGCACGTTCTCATTAGGCATAGACCTAGTTGCTTATTGCTCTCACAGGTTGCGTGCAGGGTACCTCCACGCTCTCACATGAACACATAAGTGAATGGATGTGCAAGATGAAGTGTGGACCTTACCTCAACAGCCGGAGTAGCGTGGGTGAGCTCCAGTGAGAAATTTTCAGGCACGTGGTTAGAGGAGATTGTCACCAGGCTGTTCAGCGATTGGTGGCTGTGGTGGCTCTGCCGGCTGCTCATTTGTCCCCTTTCCAGGGTCGGAGAGGATGATGGAGAAGCTCTGTGGTGAGATCTGATGGGTAAAGTGCCATTAACTGTTGGCACTAATGTAATGTCCCCTTTGTGGATCTGTCTTGAGGGTCGTTTTGGGTGGTGCTGGTAGGTCGATTCCGCCACGCGACAGTTGTAGGACCTGGTGTCCTTTTTCTCTCTATTACATCTTGTAGCAAAGATAACCATAATGACCAACAACACAGCACATATTGATCCTAAGGATATAATCGTTATCATGGAGACATCCAGGGAAGGTTGGCTTACCAAAGTTGCTTCTGTGCTTGAAAACGAATAAATGTACTCAAAAACAGTACACTTCAGAAGTGCTTTAGTACTAAGCTGAGGGCTGCCTTTGTCCTGGACTATCACAAAAAACTCCCATTGCTTTGCTGGAACTGATTCAACACTCACGTTGATGGAGATGTCACAAGTTTTGGGATCCATCACAAAGATGCTGTTTTCCTTGTCAGCCGCTATGGAGCAGCTGAGTTCAGAGTTCATACCAGAGTCTCTATCTGTAGCCCTTATCCTAGTGACAAGAAAGCCAATTCCAGCATCTTTAGGGATTGAGATTTCTGCTGTGCTGTTGCGTAGCACTGGCCCCACGATGACAGGAGCGTTGTCGTTTTCGTCGATGATGGTTAGCACAACAGTGGTATTGCTAACAAGCTGCTGACTCCCTCCATCCCTAGCTTGAACCATGAAGGCCATTTGATTTACTTCTTCATGATCAAAGGTTCGCAGGGCATAGATCGCCCCGTTGGAGGGATCAATGGTCACATAGGTGGTTATAGAACTTCCCAAAATATAGCTCTCCAAAATAGTGTAGGTCACCTGCCCATTGTCACCTAGATCTGGGTCTGTGGCTGTGACTGATGTGATGTATGCTCCGGGAGAGTTATTTTCCAAAATAACCACTTCATATCTGTTTGTCTGGAAGCGGGGTGGGTTGTCATTTTCATCACTGATTTGGACAGTAAAGTGTTTCACTGTGGAGAGACTTGGCGTTCCCTTGTCCTCCGCTATTACAGTCAAGCTGTATTCAGATCTCTTTTCCCTATCTAGAGTGGCATTAGTCAAGATTAAATAGTTATTTTCATAAGTCTTTTGGAGTTTAAAGTGGCCATGGCCATGGAGCTTGCAAACTATCTCTCCATTCACACCAGAGTCCTTGTCTTGCACTCTCACCAGGGCAACGAAAGTGTCCAGGGGTGACCCTTCAGAAATGTAAGCTATCTCTTCTTTCTCAGGGGACATCAGGTTTAAGTTAATTTCGGGCCTGTTGTCATTCACATCCACAATTTTAATTATAATTTTGCAGTGAGCCGGAATAGAATTTGGCCCCAAATCTTGAGCCTGAGCATCAATTTCATAGGATTTGGTTACTTCATAGTCCACTTGCTTCAGGAGGGTCAGATGTCCTTTCTCTGAATCTATCCTAAAAGTCTCTGTAATTTTGGCAGACACATGACTGCTGAAGGAGTACACGACCTTACCGTTAGCGCCCTCATCTGGGTCAGTGGCGTTGAGGTCTATGAGCAACGTCCCAACCGGCGAGTTTTCTAAGAGCTGGATTACATACGACTGTTGCTCGAAAACAGGGCTGTTGTCATTGGAATCAGAAATGCTTATTTTCAGGAGGGATGATCCAGATCTCTGAGGCACCCCTTTATCTGATGCAGTGAGTTGGAGTTCATAACTTGACTTCAACTCCCGGTCCAGCTCTCTGACCACGATCAGCTCTGCGTACTTAGCACCGTCAGTCCTGGTTCTCACCTCAATGCTAAAAAAATCATTTGCAGAAAGGGAGTAAGTGTGAAGGGAGTTGTCCCCTACATCTGGATCAAAAGCGCTGTCCAAAGGGATCCGGGTTCCTACAGCTGCACTCTCTGATATTTCGATAGGGATAAGAGCTCTGGAAAACTGGGGAGAGTTGTCATTAATATCCAGCACTTCAACTTCAACATGGAAAAGCTGCAGATGTTCAGTGGGGAGAGTGATCACATCAAACTCTATGGAGCAGTTTAAGTTTTTCTGGCAGAGTTGCTCCCGGTCAATTTTAGCTCCTATGCTGATTTCTCCGTTATCCTCCCGGACTACCAGCAAGGGTGAATTCCCCCTCTGCATGGCTCGAAAACGAACCGAGGAAGGGTTAGGCATTTTTAATAAAACATCAGCTACATCCTCCGATAGTCTTGCAATTACTGATCCAACTCTCTGCTCCTCATAAATCCTGTATTTCAAATTCTTGCCCAGCACAGTCTTATTGAAAGATACTATCATCAGTGCAAAAATGAATATAAAGTGCATTTTACTGCCGATTCGGTGCATTTGTAAGTTTTTGCAATGCATTTCTCCAAGCAAGTTAAAAAGCAATTATTTCGACTTCCTCCGGTACCTTAAACCCAGCGCACATCTGGTCCTCTAAAACTTGAAAACGCCTTTTCTAAGTCAGCCCCGTATTAATATCTTACCAGATCAGAAAACTTTTCTCTTTTTCTATACACACCGTGCCAGGACATCCAGATACAATCTGTACGCAATCCACGCTTTCTCATTTGACTCCCCGCTCCTCTTTCAGGATGAAAC